AATTTTGATTAGAATTGCATAAAATTTGTATAACAGTTTTAGAAGTATGGCCATGTTCACTATATTGATGCTTTCTACCCAAGAGCACAGGATATCTTTCTCTTTTCTGATATCCACTTTAACCTTCTATTTCAAAGTACCGTAGTTTTCAATATAGAGGTCTTTTGCATCTGTCATTAGATTGATACCTAGGTATTTCATTTTTTTGCATGATATTTTGGAAGATAATTATTTACCTAATTTCTCTCTCAGTGAGTTTCTTATTGCTGTACAGGAAAGCTATTGATTTTTTAAAATTTATTTATTTGATACAGAGTCTCACTATGAAATTCAGACATGTAGTGATCCTCTTATCGCAGCCTCACCAGCACTGGGATTACAGGTGTGTGTCACCATGCCAAGTTTTAGGGCCAGCATAGCATGCCTGGGGTTCTGGGCCCAGCATGGTATGTGGCACTGGAGATCGAATTCAGGTCCTTGTGCCTGCCAGGCAGGCACTTAGACCGCCAAGTTATCTCCCCAGTCCAGGCTATTGATTTTTGAGTGTTGACTTTGTATCCAACTACAGTACTGAATTTTTTCATTAAATCTAGAAGACTTTTAATGGAGTTTTGGGCGTCTTCTATGTAGAGTATCATGCTACCTGTGAATAATTAATGATAATTTAACTTTCCTATTTTTATTCATTTTCTGTTTTACATATTGCTGTAGCTAAGGTTTCCAGAACTACACTGAATAAGAATGAAGATATATGGACATCCTTGTCTTGTTCCTGATTTTAAAGTGAAAGCTTTCGGGTTTTGCCCATTTAGTATGATGTTGGCTATTGGTTTGTCATAGATAGCTTTTATCAGATTGAGATTTGCATCTATTCCAGTTTTCTATAGGGTTTTCATCATAAGTGTGTTGGACTTCAAAAGCTTTTTCTGAGTCTATTGGGATGATCATATGGTTTTTGTCCTGTCCTTGGCTCTGTTAAAATGACATATTACATTTATAGATTTGCATATGTTGAATCATCCCTGCATCCCTAGCATGAATCCCACTTGATCATGAGGTATAATCTTGATGAGTTGCTGCATTCTGTTGCCAAAATCTGAAGATTTTTACATCTATTTTCATGAAGGAGATTGGCCTATAGTTCTCCTTCTTAATTGGGTCCTTCTAAGGTTTCGGTGCTTGCTTTTAGGAAAAATTTAGGAGTGTTGCTTCCCTTTCAATTTCATTAAAGAGTTTGAGAAGTAGTGGTGTTAGGTCTTCATATGAAATTCAGCAGTGAATACGTCAGAGCCTGGGCTTTTCTTTGTTGGTAGGTTTTTGTTTTCATTTACGTATTTGGTACAGGGTCTCACTATGCAGCTCGGACTCATAGTGATCAGCCTCCCCAGCACTGGGATTGTAGGTGTTCATCACCACACCCAGATTCATTCAACCGGCTCACCGCGCCCCAGGGACAGGACTGGTGTGGCATACAGGACCAGGGATTGAACCCTGGTCCTTGTGTTTGCCAAAACAGGCACTTAGACTGCTGAGCTATTTCGCCAGCCGCCTTCTTGGTAGATTCCTAATTACATCTTCAATTTCTTTGATATTGGGCTACTTAGGATTTTTATATCTTCTTTATTCAGCTTTGGTAATTCATATGTATCTAGGAATCTGTCCATTTCTTCTATATTTTCTATCTTACTAAAATGCACATTTTTCAAAAGTGTAGTGATCTGGATTTTTTCAGGGTCTGTTGTGATTTCACTCTTTTCATTCCTATTTGCATGTTTCAGTCTTTCATTTTTCGATAAGGTTTAATACTGGCTTTTTTATTTTATTTAATTTTCAAAGAACTATTTTCAGGAATATTTTTTATTTTCAAAATATTTAGAAATAGTTTAATTAGAAAAATAAAGGCAATAGGATTATCTACCAGAGAACCAACTCTTTAATTCCTTGATTCTGTGTATTGTTTTTTTAGTCTCCAGTGTGTAAAATTCTGCTCTGCTTTTTATAATTAACACCCTCCTCCTGTGAGCTTCTGGCTTAGTCTGCTCTACTTTTTCTTGATTGTTATTTGTACTTGCTCTTTTTTCCCCTGATATGGGTATTCACTGCTATAAATTTTCCTCTGAGAACTGCTTTCACTGTGTAAGTTCCTGTATGTTGTATTGTCACTACATTTAATTCCAGAAACTGTCTAATTTCTTTTTCAATTTCATCTGTGACCTATTGGTTGTCAAAGAGGGAGCTATTTATTTTCCATGTGTGTTTGAGGTTCCTGTGGGTTCCTTTGCCCTTGATTTACAATTTCACTGCACTGTGGTTTGATTATATGCATGGGATAATTTCAATTCCTTTACACTTATTTAAGCATGTTCCGTGAGATACGATGTGATCTATTTTCAAGGACACCCATGTGTAGCTCAGAAAAATGTGTATTCTGATGTTGTTGGATAGAACACTCTGTAGCCATCTACTAAGTCTTATTTGTTCAAAAATTTGATTCAGTCCTAATACGTTATTGTTGATTTTTTTTTTTTTTGGTTGATCTATCTTTTGTGACAGTAGGGTATTGAAATCTCCCAGTACAATCATATTAGTACTTATTTGATTTTTCATGTCCATTAATATTTGTCTTATACAGGTAGGTACACTGGTATTTGTTGTTCATATATTTATGATTGCTATTTCTTTCTCTTTACAAGGATATAGTGATCTTCTTTATCTCTCTTACTCAGTCTTAGATTAAAATTCTTTTTGTCTGAAAATAAAATAGCTTTTTTCTGGGTTCCGGTCACGTAGAATGTGTGTTTTCCATTGTTTGACTTTCAGTCTGCGTATTTCTTTTTGGATTGAATGTGTTTATTGTATACAGAAGATTGTTGGATCATGTTTCTTAATCCATTATTTCAGTTTGTGTCTTTTGATTGGTTGAGACCATTAACATTGATGGCTATAACTCATATGAATTGACTTATTCTTGTCATGTTATTTTCCTGTTTGTTGCCTTTCCTCTTCTTTTTTTCTTCCCTGTGTTTGTTTTCCTTGCCTAATGGATTGCTTCTGTTGGGGTTCATGGTGTTGTAATCCTTTGTTCTCTTTCTCTAGAATGTCCTTCAAAACATTTTGGAGTGTTGGTTTAGTGATCATAAATTTCCTCAGATGTTTGTTGTCATGGAAGTATTTCACCATCCATTATGGTTTCAGGGTAAATCCTGAGGGGATTTGACTGACCTTGTCAGATACAAAAGTTACATTTTTTGTTATCTAGGTCTTGCTTTATCTTGGTCTTAACCATCCAGCAGAAAAGTATAAACACAAGATATAAAAAGTAAAGCCGTATTAATATGCTGAGTTGTAAAAGGCTCAAGTCACCAACTTCTGACATTGCCAGTCCTGCAGATAACCCACTACTATTATGAACTACTGGACTATATTGGATTATTTTGCTGAATTCACACACCTACAATATTTGAATGGCAGTGGAATACCCACCTCTGACAAAACACCATCAGTTTTAAAAGATAGTTTTGCAGGGTACATTAAGCTGAATTGAAGGTGTCTTCCTTTATAACTTGAAATACTTCACTCCAAGCTCTCCTTGACTTGAGGGATTGTGCTGAGAAGTCATCTGTGATTCTAATTTGCTCTCCTTTGTAAGTGATTTGTTTCTTTTCCCTAAAAATTTTTAAGATTATATTCTTGTGTCCAAGTTCTGGAATCTTGACTGTGTGGTATGCCTGGGTATAGGGTTGTTTTTTGTTTTGTTTATGTTTTGTTTTGTTTTTATTGTGGCTGTTAGAGTTCTATATGCCTCACTTAACTGTTTGTCAAATTATTTTTCTCTACTAGGGAAGTTTTCTGTCATGACATTTGTGAAGAGGTTTTTAAATATCCTTTGTGCTCTTTTGCTTTTTCATTGAGTCCAGTCAATCTTAAGTTATTCTTCTTTGCATCATCTAGCAGCAGTTGTATTAATTTCTCATGAGCCTTTGCCATTTTTAAGGAATCTTTCTTTTTATGATTACTAACCACAAACCTGTCTTCTATATCTGAGATGCTGTCCTCGCACTGGCTTGATGTGCTGTGATACTTTCAATGGAATTTTCATTATCCTGAACATCTACTTGATCTTAAGAATTTCAATTCTTTCTTATGCTGAATATTGATACTTTCATAATTTTCTCCTCTATTTTTTGTCTGTATCTGCTGTACAGTCACTAAGCGTGGTTTCGTTATGGGAATCATCTCTGTAGTTATCTGAGAAATTATTCCTGATGGTTTTTTTTAGAGCCTCATTTAATTATTATATCTTTAATAAGTCAAAGACAGGAGGTGAGTTGCTTTTAGATTGTCCCACCTCTTTGCCCCCTAACTTTCCTTTGGTGAACTGGATGTCTGAGGTTGCATCTTGTGTAATTGTCTTGTCAGGTTGACCTTAGACAAGTTTCCTAATCTGTGTTTGCTCATTTGAAAATAAGAGTACAAAAAAAAAGAAAAAAAGAAAAGAAGAGAAAATAAGAGTACAATCAACTAGTCTGTGAAAATAAAATGAGATTCTATATATAAAGTGTATCCATTGATGGAGAACCTTTCAGAGTTTTCAGGGATAACAAGCATCCCACTGTAGCCTACATGCCATAGATGATCCACCACTGACCTACATAATGCATAGCATGTATCATAACTGTTACAATGGTTGTTAAACATTTGGTATAAAAGTAAAAGAGTTAGTGTTTAGTGCTGTGTGTAACACCATGTTTTTTTGCTATGTGTAAGTATAAACACTAACACAAGCCTATCTACTGTGTCGCAATGTTATTTCCCCTGCTAAATACTGTAAGATTGGTGATCTGACAGTGGAACTCTGGGTAGCAGATAAAATGTAGCAAAGGGAAAAGGAAGAAAAACAGAAGAGAGGCAGAAATCAGGACTTAATGTCAGCATGTAGAGGACAAATAGATAATTTTGGGGAACACTTACCATAATTTTCTGCATATTTGTCTTTTTATAGATATTCATTTATCATTTTTCATGTATGGGCTGAGTCCTGATCATAGCTGTATGATACTAAACAACATTGAAGAGTGGTAAGTATTTCAAATAATGACTTTGCTTGCTACTACTTATACTACTATTTTTTTTAAATATACTTTGAGTAAATGCTTCTATTTTACAATTGATTACTAAATAATTTAATAGTTAAAAACATGTAAATGTATTTTATCCCACGTTGGGATACTTTCAAGTATGTAAATATTTATCATGGTGCTATATATTGGTTATTATCTTAGTCCTTTCATATTGCTGCAACAAAATACCCTAATTTATTTTTCATACTTTTGAAGGCTGGAAAATCCAGTATCAGGCAGTTAACATGTGTGTGATTAGGTCTGCATCTCATAGATCATACCTTTTCACAGCATCCTCACTTGGTGGAGGGCTGCCTCCTGTGGCCCTCTTCAATAAGGTACTAATCCCAGATGTGGGGGTTCTAGCCTCAAGATCTAATTCCCTCATAAATGTCTTACCCCGTAATGCCATCTCATTGGTAGTTACATTTTGAAATAAGAATTTGGAGGGATATAAACACTCAACTCATAGAAGGTACTTAATTTTTAAGGAACTATTCTTTGTGCTGAAGATGGAAAAGTAGGGAAAGATGGGTCAGTGGGAAGCAGTTTACCACATAAAATGGACCTAAATTGCAGTGAGTAAGCAAAAGAGAAAGGAGGAAGGCACTCCAGGCAAAGGCACTGCAGCCGCCATTCCCCTCCACTTCTCCGCTACACTGACCTCAGCATCCTGCCTGATCCCACTTGTTTGCAGCATATAGATTGGTGTGTCCATTTAATACAAGAAAATGGAAACTGAGCAGCCAGAGGAAACCTTCCCCAACACTGAAACTAATGGTGAATTTGGTAAACATCCTGCAGAAGACATGAAAGAGGACCAAGCATTTAAAAGATCTAGAAACACGAATGAGATGGTTGAAGTACAAATTCTGCTTCAGAGCAAGAGTGCTGAGGCAGTGACTGGAAAAGGAGACAAGAACATTAAGGCTCTCCATACAGACTGCAATGCCAGTGTTTAAGTCCCAGACAGCAGTGACACTGAGCACATATGGAATATCAGTGCTTTTATTGAAACAATTGGAGAAATTCTGAAGGTCATCCCTACCTTGGAACAGTACCAATGCTATAAAAGAAGTGACTTTGACTATGAGTTGAGACTGTTAATTCACAGAGTCTGGCAGGAGGAATTATTTGGGTCAAAAGTGCTAAAATCAAAGAACTTTGAGAGAACATTCAGACAATAATCAAGCTTTTCCAAGAATGCTCTCCTCATTCCACTGACAGAATTTTGTTATTCAAGGAAAGCCTGACAGGGTTGTAGAGTGCATAAAGATCATCTTTGATCTTATATCTGAGTCTCCCATCAAAGGACATGCACAACCTTATGATCCCAATTTTTATGATGAAACTTATGATAATGGTGGTTTTACCATGATGCTTGATGACTGCCGTGAATGGCCTATAGGATTTCCTATGCAGGGGAGAGGTGATTTTTGACAGAATATCTCCTGGTTGAGGTGGGTGCCCCATGCCTCCCTCTAGAAGAGATTATGATGATATGAGCCCTCATCAGAGATCACCACCCCATTCTCCTGGTCAAGGTGGCCAAGGTGGTAGCAGAGTTCATAATCTTCCTCTTTTACTACCACCATCACCACCTAGAGGAGGAGATCTAATGGCCTATGATAGAAGAGGAAGACCTGGAGACCGCTATGATGACATGATCGGTTTCAGTGCTAATGAAACTTGGGACTCTGCAATAGATATGTGGAGCCCAACAGAATGGCAGATGGCATATGAACCACATGGTGGCTCTGGATATGATTATTCCTATGCTGGGGGTCGTGGCTCATATGGTGATCTTGGTGGACCTATTATTACTACACAAGTAACTATTACCAAAGATTTGGTTGGATCTATTATTGGCAAAGGTAGTCTGCAGATTAGAGAAATTCATCATGAATTTTTATCAAAATTGATGATCCTGCCAGGGAGATAGCTCAATAGAATAAGCACTTGCCTGGCAAACGCAGGGTCCTGAGTTCAATCCCCAGTACCGAAAAAAAAAAAAAAAAAAACTATTAAAAAAATGTTTAAAAAAAATTGATGATCCCTTAGAAGGATGCAAAGATTGGATCATTACCATTATAGGAACACAGTACCAGATACAGAATGTACAATATTTGCTGCAGAGCAGTGTGAAGCAGTATTTTGGAAAGATTTTCTAAGACTAGTGAAAAACTGCAGGAGTCCTGCATTTTTTTTTAATCTGATTCTGTTTAAAAAGCCACCACTCCTCTGCTTCATGGGTGTTCTGCATTTGAGGTGTAGTGAAACCTTTGCTGTTTACCAGATGTAATATTTTAGTTCCTTACAATCAGGGTTGGTGGGGAGGGTGTACAAAAACTAACATTGAATTTTTTTTGGTTTTGTTTTTGCTTTTGTTTGTGGTACCGGGGATTGAACTCAGGACCCTGCACTTGCCAGTCAGGCGCTTATTCTGCTGAGTTATCTCCCCAGCCCAACATTGAAATTTTGAAACAGTAGCAGAGTGAGTGGATTTTATTTTTTGTTCATTGTTGGTGGTTTTAAAAAATTTCCCCCATGTAATTATTGTGAACACCTTGCTTTGTATGGTTACTGTAAACATTTGGGGGGTGGGAGAGGGAGGAAAGTAGCAGTAGTCCACATGACCCTTGCATCTGTTCAGAGCAGTGTGCAGAATGTAATACTTTTTTGTAAGAAACGTTTTATGATTTTTAAAATAAATTTAGTGAACCTAAAAAATAAAATGGACCTAAATTTAGCATAAATGTTGATTTTTTTAATAACTTGGAAAGTAAAGAACATAAGTGACATTCAAAGTTTGAAATTGCCTTTCAAAAACATTATGTAAAGAGAACAGGAAAGTAAGTTTTTATTTTTATGGTTGGTTGGTTGGTTTTGAAGCAGGTTCTCAATAGTAGCTCAGGCTGGCCTTGATCTTGTTGTATAGCCCAGGCTGACTTTGAATTTGCTGTGACCCTACTGTCTTAACCTCCCAAGTGCTGGAATTATGGCCATGCACAACCATATCTGTTTCATTTTTGAGACAGGGTGTTGCTATGTAGTTCAGACAGGGCTTGAACTCATTCTTTCCCAGACAGCCTTATACTAGAGGCCATCCTCCTGCCTCTGGCTCCTATGTGCTGTAATCACATGTGTGTATCTGCACCCCTGACTAAGAAAGTAAATTATTTTGTTTTTTATGTGGTTTTTCATTTGATTGTTTTATTTTTGTTTTATTTTGTCTTGTCTTTTTGAGACAGGGTTTCCCTAAACAGTTTGGTCTGGCCTTGAATTCATTTTGTAGCCCAGGCTAGCTTTAAACTCAGCAATTCTCCCACCTGTGCTGGGATTATAGGTGTGCACCAGCACACCCAGCTTAATGTAAGCTATTTTACAACCAGATCTTTCTCATTTTTATATTTTTTAGTCAAAAAGTGGTATCGACACATTTGATAACCTACATAGTAATCAGATTAGTTTTAAACATTTGACTGATTCTAAAAATCAGATTCACTCTAAGAGGATGGAAATTGGATGCACTATTGACATATAAAAAGGTCATGGAGGAAATATATTTTCCAAGTCAAGGAGGAAATAAATTTTCTTGGTCCTTTACAAGTCAAAAGAGAATTTTTACTTATGAAGCTATTAAACTATTAAGGCATCAAGTTGCGCACAATCTGCAGTTTCATGTATATGCTTGTATCTGCAACCACAGAAAAAAATGTGAATATATAGAGCCTAGTAGAAATAAAGCTAGGTATAGGGACGAGCAAAATATTTTACCTTTTTCATAAAAATTTAAGCCTCACTAAAACACAGATGATAAGAGTAAGGCTTAAGAGCAGATGTACATTTAGTGAGTGGCAGAGTTAGGACAAGAAACCTGTCTTCTGATACCTTGTACAGAATCCTTTAGTATAATATAGATTAGTGATGATGAACCAGAGCTTTCAGTGATATAGCTGGCTGTATACTGCATGCTGTAGGTTTACCACCACTGTCATAGATCTTGCAGAATTCTTAAAATAAAATTTTATATCAACAGTTTGGAGGGGAAATGAAAAATCAGGTTAAGTAATGAGAGAGCAAATTTTAGTCAAACTTTAACTCTTTCTCACAGAGTGGACCTAAGAACTTAGATTTTCTCCATATTTTAACTGATCTCTATCACCAGATCTGGACTTTCCTTGCATTGGAGGAAACTTAACTTTTTCAGTTTACTTAATGGAGTTGTCAAATCCGAAAGAAGTCTTAGTTAGTAGCAGTCTACTTGCTGCATTTACCACAGTTTATCCCGGGGCTCATATTAGAACAGTTTTACTATAAATTTCTAACAGTTTAAAGATAAAGCACTTTTTTTGCATAATTTTATTGAGAAACAAATAGCAATGAGACAGTTTCAAACCAAATTGGTAGGACAGTTTCAATAGTTAACACATTGCATACACTCTTCCTAGTGGTTAATTGCTGTACAAGATGCGGACTTGATATCCTATTTACAAACACCATTAGAACAAATCTCTCTATTCATTAAGAGAATGTAACTATATATCTATCCTAACCACTTTGAATACACAGATACCAAATGGATATTCATCTGTATCCCCTTTTTTTGGTTAAGTTCTATCATTTAAATATTATAGGTGTGCAAACTCAGCAAAATATTCTAAAAGAGTTCAGTAGTCCATAATAGTATTGGGTCTTCTGCTTCACTAACAATGTCAGAAATTGTTGACCTGAGTCCCCTACAGCTCAACATAACACCATGGCTTTTTTTTTAACATTTATTTAGTGGGGCGGGGGCAGCTCAGCCCACCAGGGGGCGCAGCTGGCTGGCATGTGGTGCTGGGGGATTGAACCGCGGTCCCTGTGCTTTGCCAAGCTTGTTCCAAGTAGGTGCTTTAGACCACTGAGCCATCTCTCCATCCTGGCTTTACTTCTTATACTTTGTTTTTATACTTTTC